AAATGACAGAGTGGTCGAATGTGTCATACTTGAAATATGATGTGCCTTCTCGGTACCATAGGTTCGAATCCTATTTTATCCGGATATATATACAAAATATAAGATAAGTAATAAACCAACTTTAGCTATTTTCTTTTACTTTGGTTCCTCTCTTTTTCATTTATGTTTTCTTTTTTCTGTTTTCATCTATGAAAAAGAAAAAGAAAAACCATGTTTTCCCTTTCTCTTTTGTTTCTTGGGTAAAGGAAAGAAAAAGAACATAATGCTGAAGTAATCCTAAGTTTAACCCTTTTCTATTTACTTTTTCTTTTTACTTTTTCTCTCTGCGAGAGAGAAAACAAAAACAAACAAAAAAGGGTAGATAAACTAAGCCTTGTTTTGTCCCTCATCTTTATAGTTATGTATAAGGGGCTAAGTCTGACTCTAATAACATATAATTATATGCAATTATCACGATCACAATTCCAAGGACACCCATTCCACCTGGTAACTCCATCTCCTTGGCCATTATTAACATCTTTTGCACTGTTAATTCTTACATTAGCTGCAGTTATGTATTTTAACGGATTCGCTAACGGAGGATTACTTTTAGCTATTGGATTTGTAACTACAGTAGCAGCAATGACACTATGGTTCCGAGACGTAGTAGCTGAAGGAACACTATTAGGAAACCACACATTTGCTGTACAAAAAGGTCTTAACTTAGGTGTAGCCCTATTCATCGTAAGTGAAGTATTCTTCTTCGTAAGTATTTTCTGGGCTTACTTCCACTCAGCATTAGCTCCAACAGTAGAGCTAGGAACTGCTTGGCCACCTGCAGGTATTGACCCTCTAAACCCATTTGAAATTCCTTTATTAAACACAATCTTACTTCTATCATCTGGAGCAAGTATTACATATGCACACCACTCATTAATTGAAGGTAACCGACGAGGAACAATCTTAGGAATCATTATTACAATTGTATTCGCTGTAATCTTCACAGGTCTACAAGGATTTGAGTACTACGAAGCACCATTCACAATTACAGATGGAGCTTACGGATCAACATTCTTCTTTGCAACAGGATTCCACGGATTACACGTTATCATTGGAACACTATTCATTGCAGTAGGATTCTTCCGAATCTTATCATACCACTTAACAGATCACCACCACTTAGGATTTGAAGCTTCAATTCTATACTGGCACTTTGTTGACGTTGTATGGTTATTCCTATACGTAAGTATCTACTGGTGGGGAAGCTAGTTCTCTAATCACTTTATTTTTTTTTGTTTTTCTTCAAAGAAGAAAAAAAGAAAAAAACTCAATATAATCCCCTTTATTTATTTACAAGATAAATAAATACAAAGTACTTTCTCATTGTTAGGTTTCTTTCTTTTATTATTTCAAAGATATTCAAAAGGGGAATTATTATATCAGCTTATTAACCTGCTGATAAAAAGACGAGAAAGTTTAGACTAGTAAAGGCCTTTAATTCTTTGAATTAAAAACAGAACTGGCAAATAGTAAACCTACTACATAAACAATAATAAGTCGCAGATCACCAATGTTGTCTAATGATAGACCTTCTGAAGGAACTAATACAGGTACAAATAAAATTAATGTGATTGAAATTAATCCAATCATAATATAAAGAGCGTATTGAGTTACAACACCAGTATCTAATCGAGCAATTTGTTGACTACCTCCATATAGAGATTTAGTTAATCCAAATGGACCTAATAATTCAACAGCTCCTCGATCTAATACTTTAGATGTTACTAGTCCTAATTGTAATGATTTACCAATAACATAGTGGTTAATTACAGCATCAAAGAACCATTTAGCATTGAAGAATGTATAAAGACGTTTTCCAACGTTACTTAATGCTAAATCTACTGTGAAGTTAGCTAATCGGTGATACATTAATAATGCTAATGAAGCTCCACCAAGTGTACCAATAGCAGGTAGTAATTTATAGAATGTTGGAATAGCAAATTCTGCCTCAACTAATGTTACATGTGATGGGTGCACAAATAATGAAGTTGATAACATATCACTACCCATACCTACAAAGCTATCTTTTGCAATATATCCAAAGAAGATAGACATTAAAGCTAAGATTACTAAAGGAATAACAACAATCATCGGTTGTTCGTGTGTGTGCTCGTAATCTACTTTAGGAGCATTAGGTGTAGTTAAGAATGTCATACTAATTAATCGGAATGAATAAAATGCAGTAATAATAGCTGTAATTGTTCCTAACCAATATACAATATGTCCACTAGCCCAAATACTTCCACTACTTTCCCCACTAGTAAGGAACGTATATTGACCATATCCTAACTCTAAGATAAGATCTTTAGAGTAGAATCCAGTCATGAAAGGAATAGCCATTAAACTTAATGATCCAATTAAAATGATTGTATATGTAAATGGTAATAAATTAATTAAACCTCCAAGACGTCGCATATCCTGTTGATCAGCCATAGAGTGTAATACTCCACCTGCTGCAAGGAATAATACAGCTTTGAAGAAAGCGTGGTTTACTAAGTGGAATAATGCTACTGAATACTGAGAAATTCCAACTGCCATAAATAAATATCCCATTTGTGAACATGTTGAGTAAGCAATAACTCGTTTAATATCGTTTTGTAGTAAACCAGTTGTAGCAGCGAAGAAAGCAGTAATAGCTCCAACCCATGTAATAACAACAAGAGTTGTTGGTGCAAACTCAAGTAATGGTGATGATCGTAATAGTAGGTAAACTCCAGCTGTAACCAAAGTAGCAGCGTGGATTAAAGCTGAAACAGGAGTTGGACCCTCCATAGCATCAGGCAGCCAAGTATGTAATCCTAATTGTGCAGATTTACCCATAGCAGCAAATAGAAATAGTAATCCAATAATTGTTAATACTGTTTCGTTCATGTAAGGTGATAAACTATAAACAGTTGCATAGTCAAGGTTACCGAATGCCCAGAATGTTACGAAGAAAGCAACACTTAAGAAAGTATCACCAACACGGTTAACTACCATAGCTTTAATAGCTGATTTGTTGGCTTGGATTCGAGTAAACCAGAAGTTAATTAGTAAGTATGATGATACTCCAATACCCTCCCACGTATTTCCTCTCCCCATTATCTAAAGGGGGATAACATCATTTTGTTTGAATTATACTTTATATAACATCGAAGTATGTAAGTAAGGAATCACTATAGATTTTAGGCTCTGTATTTGCTTCACTGGGATAGCAATTACATATTGTCCTGGTGTTTTTTCAATTAGGTAAGTGCGTAATTGAAAATTGTCAAGTAAAGCCTTTCGTAATAACTCTACATCTGATAGTGTGAACGAACGTGTATGCAATATTGTCTGATTATGGACTGTTTTACCTCCATCATGTTTTTTCTAAGAAAAAAAAAGATAATCCAATAAGCAAGTGCACGAGGTGTTAGTAACTCTGCAACGTTAGCAGGAACTATCTTCTTACCCTCTTTCTTTCTTCTTTTTCTTTGAAGAAAAAGAAGAACAAAAAGAGAGTGATAGTTGTTAAGACAAGGGAGAGTTACAGTCTTAGACTGAATGCTATAATAAATTTTACCAGTACGAGAATCTGGTTTACGTATCACCAGTGTGGGGCTTTTGGAAGTTAAATTATAGAAAATTCCATAAAGCATCATAGCATACGATACATGAGCAGGGAAGGTCTGCTCAAACCGTAATCGTGCATTGTGACTAGGTTTGGCTCGTTCTTTTTTAATTCAATGAATTAAAAAAAGCGAAGCATCACCTAATAAAGTACCTATAATTACTTCTTTCTGTAAAGGAGTAAGTTGTACAGCGCTCTTTGCAGCACTTGGTTTACTTTTTTCTTTTTTCTTGAAAAACCAGGGTATTTTCGTTTAGGCTTAACTTCTTTGGTTGTACCTAAGGGAATAGTGCTTAACATAAAAATAGAAAACATACTTCCATTGATGTCATCCATGTTAATAAAAGTAAATTCAATAATGTGCGAGGAAATGTAGCATAAATTTCTTTATGCCTCGGACTATATCTTCGAGTTATAATAATATTTATAACTGCACCACATGTAGTCTCTGAGGATCCTACTAATGTATTGGCTATACATTTTGGTTTCCTGCTGATTATCCAATACTTACTAGTATTACTTAGGAGTCAGTAAGGCTCTAAGGAGTTTCCAGCATATAGTGGTGTTCCATAATATAGCTCACGCTATACCTAGGCCGGGAGATGTTGACCTACGAATAAAATTAAGTAGTTATCTCCAGTAACAAGTACTAGCATGAAGAATGTGAACATTGAAAGATATGCAAAGAATCGTTGGTTGTGTGGATCTTCAGACATATAGCTAATAGAGTAAATGTGTACCATAGATGAAACAACTAAAACAGGAAGTAACATTGATACTGTTAAGCTATCAAACATAAATGCCCAATCTACAGACATTAATCCTGAATCAACCCAACTAGATAAGTGAATTGAAACAGGTGAACCACATAATGCAACTTCATAGAAAGCTACAATAGATAGAAGTGCAGCAGTACTCATACATACACTTGTAATAATTTGTGCACCAGTAACACCAAGTTTACGTCCAAGTAAACCTGCTGACATAGCACCTAACAGAGGTAAAGCTAGAATTGATAGATACATTTTTTAACGTAAGCTAATTGAACCTCGAAGTCGATAGAATGCAACTAAAATACCAAGACCAATAGCTGATTCAGCACCAGCAATGGCAATGATATAGATGCTGTAAGTTTGACCAACAATATCATCGAAGCTAAATGAGCTTACAATTACAAGTAAAGTCACCGCTAATAACATCATTTCAATACTAATTAGCATTAAGATAATGTTTTTACGGTTAAGCACGAAGCCTAAAACACCTACAAGGAATAACACTAAAGATAATGTCATTGCATCTTGTTAAGTTCCTATTGGTTTCCATTAATGGTTTATCTCTTCTAATTTTGTTTGTTTTTTTTTTT